GAGCTGAGATCACGCCATTGCATTCCAGCCTGGGCAACAGAGCAAGACTCCATCTCAAAAAAAAATTAACTAAGGCCGGGCAAGATGGCTCATGCCTGTAATCCCAGCAACTTGGGAGGCTGAGGCGGGTGGATCACTTGAGCCTAGGGTTCGAGACAAGCCTGGGCAACATGGTGAAACCCCACCTCCACAAAATCAACGAATTAAATTGGTGTGGTGGCACACCTGTAGGCCCAGCTACTCAGGAAGCTGAGGTGGGAGGATCCCTTGAGCCCCGAAGTTCAAGGCTGCAGTGAGCCGGGATCGTGCCACTGCACTCCAGCCTGGGTGACAGAGACCATCTCAAGACAAAAAAGAAGAAAACAAATAACTTCTTTGCACTTGTGGAGGGCACAGTATTAAGTTCATTCTATCTCTTCTGTTTACATTCTGACTTACAAGTGCTCTGCTGATAGAAGAGGGAATTGACCTGTTAGAAAAGCAACAGCAATCTCATCCATTCTCATTCATCTCAAATATTTTAAGTGCTTTGTACTTTTTCTTGTAAGTTGTTTCCTTCCATCTCCCTTCTATTATTTTGTATGGTGTTCTTGAGACTTCTCCCACTAACCTAATAGCCATTCCACATACTGGTTTTTTCTTCTCGTTATTTTTATTACTGTTACTTTTGTTTGTTCGAGACAGGGTTTTGCTCTGTCACCCAGGATGGAGCGCAGTGGTACCATCATGGCTCACTGTAGCCTCAACTTACTGGGCTCCAGCAATCCTCCTTCCACCTCAGCCTCCTGAGTAGCTGGGACCACAGGCACATACCACTATGCCTGGCTTTTTTGTATTTTGTATAACGAGATGGGGTTTCGTTATGTTGCCCAGGCTGGTCTTGATCTTCTGAGCTCAAGCAATCCACCCACCTCGGCTTCCCAAAGTGCTGGGATTACAGGCATGAGCCACCACGCCTGACCCTATTATTGAGACAGGGTCTCACTCTCACTCTCACCCAGCCTGGAATGCAGTGGTGCGATCATAGCTCAGTGCAGCCTCAGCCTCCTGAGTAGCTGGGACTACAGGCACATGCCAACATGCCCAGCTAATTTTTTTACTCTTAGTAGAGACAAAGTTTTACCATGTTGACAAGGCTGGTCTCAATCTCCTGAGCTCAAGTTATCTTCCCGCCTTGGCCTCCCAAAGTGCCGGGATTACAGGTGTGAGCTACCATACCTGCACCTCCTTAACTATTTTTTATTTTATTTTTTTGAGATAGGGTCTTGCCTTGTCACCCAGACTGGAGTGCAGTGGCATGATCTCGGCTCACTGCAACCTCCTCCTGCTGGGCTCAAGCGATTCTCCTGCCTCAGCCTCCCAAGTAGCTGGGACTACAGGTGCGTGCCACCACACCCAGCTAATTTTTGTATTTTTTGTAGAGCTGGGGTTTCACTATGTTGCCCAGGCTCATCTCAAACTCCTGGGCTCAAGTGATCCACCTGCCTCAGCCTCCCAAAGTGCTGGGATTACAGGCGTGAGCCACTGTGCCTGGCCCCCTCCTTAACTTTAAAAGTACAAGCTAATAAGCATTAAGGAAGAGAATGTCTAGATTAGTACAAATAATGCAAGGTAATCAGTGCCCTATTAAGAGTTGCCGAAAATTGCAGTGTAATGGAATATACCTGTAAAATTTGTCAAATTGATGATGAAGGTTAAAGTTGGTTAGAGTAGAGGTAGGGGATGTCTCAGAGGACCATACTGGTACTGTCAGTCAAACCATGGCAAGGATTATTTTTTTCTTCCTGGTAGTCATCTTAATTGATGTATAGTATATCTGCTGTTAGCTGCTACAACCTCCCTGACAAAGCACAGATCATGATAGTAAACTATGTTCATTCTCTGCCAATTCCTCCTCAGTGTTGGAAACAGAAGCCCAGTAGTGAAAGCTACAGCTGCCAGATACTTAGCAGTGGAATCACAGGAGCAATCAGAGTTCTTTATAAATGGCAGTAACAACTCACTTGACTTTCCTTCACCTGACACTGTCACCTATCACAACATTGGCCATCAAACTGGTAGAACAACCAATCCTCTGATTTGATTTCCTAGGGAAAGCAGTTGTTCAGCTCAATGTTTTGTTAACATCAAGGCTCTTATTCTCACATTTGACACCAAACACCTCAGTCATTTTGCTTGCACCAGGGTTGGTACAAGAAGGCATGGTCCTTCTTGGGTGGGTATTTGGCATTGTCGCAAATACTCATTTAGAGAAAACCAACTCTGAAACTCTCAAACTAGTATCTAGTAAAGGAAGAGATTCAGTTCTATCAGGCAATATATTATTCAATCAAGAATGATGCTGTAAGTATAGATTCACCAGTATAAACATATTACCAAAAGCTTGGATTTTTATTTTTATTTTATTCATTTTATTTTTGAGATGGAGCTTCACTCTTGTTGCCCAGGCTGGAGTGCAATGTCATGATCTTAGCTCACTGCAACCTCTGCCTCCCGGGTTCAAGCGATTCTCCTGCCTCAGCCTCCCAAGTAGCTAGGATTACAGGCATGTGCCACCACATCCAGCTTTTCTTTCTTTCTTTTTTTTTAAGTAGAGACAGGGTTTCTCCATGTTGGTCAGGCTAGTCTCGAACTCCCTGGGTGAACCGCCCACCTGGGCCTCCCAAAGTGCTGGGATTACAGGCGTGAGCCACCGCGCCTGCCTTATTTATTTTTAAATTAATTATTTTTTTGAGAGGGAGTCTTACTCTGCCGCCCAGGCTGGAGTGCAGTGGCACGAGCTCAGCTCACTGCAACCTCCGTCTCCTGGGTTCAAGTAGATTCTCCCACCTCAGCCTCCTGAGTAGCTGGGATTACAGGCATGCACCACCACACTGGCTAATTTTTCTATTTTTAGCAGAGATGGGGTTTTGCCATGTGGGCCAGGTTGGTCTTCATCTCCTGACTTCAGGTAATCCACCTGCCGTGGCAAGTGTTGGGATTACAGGCATGAGGTACTGTGCCTGGCCCACTTGCTTTTATTTAATGACTTGCTAGAAAACAAAAAACATTAGCACTTACATGTGGCTCCGTGATGTCTTTCTGGTAATTCTGGAAACTTCTTGGGTTATAGAATTTGAAGAATCTATTTAGAGCTATAGAACTCCTCTTAATCCTCCTCAAATTGTACTCAACAGATTTATTCCTTGCTCCCTAAAACCTATCCTTAGAAATTGCAAGTTAAGAATTCACCCACCACTGCCCACTGTTCCAAAAAGCTTTACTGAATCTCATTAATGAAAAGTAATGTAAAACTCTCCATAGGAGGCATTAACATACTTGTTTCTTCCAAACCTTCTGATTTCCACTATTTGTAACCAAAATATATTAGGAAACAATAATTAAGCTTTAATGCTATTGCCTGGCCCCATCTAACTATGATCTTTTAATTGTGGAGACATGGCAGTTCCCTGGAAGACCACAGCCTTAGGAGACTAGCAAGCCTGGCTAGATCACTGGTTCTGATAGTTATTTTGCTGTATTAATTTACCTAACTTTTCTGAGTCTGCGTTCTCATCTGTAAAATGGGTGTATGACTTATGATAGGGAGCTACTTGAAAGACAAAACATCTGACACAGAAAAGGCTAGATTAAAAACCTTTAGAGACCCAAAGCAGCAGGGCTATTGTGCCCAAATCACTCAAGGTATTCGTAGGAAAGAACACAAACTGAGGAAGGTTTAATAAAGGACTATTTACAAAGACATGGACAGAGTACAGGAAAATCAATGAAGAATAATGGCATAATCCAGGGCTGGTAACTGAGTTGACCAGGTTGGTCTCAAACTCCTGACCTCAGGTGATCTACCTCAGCCTCCCAAAGTGCTGGGATTACAGGCATGAGTGACTGCGCCCAGCTTGAGTCTTTTTTTTTTTTTTTGGAGACGGAATTTTGCTCTTGTTGCCCAGGCTGGAGTGCAATGGAGTCTCAGCTCACTGCAACCTCCACCTCCTGGGTTCAAGCGATTCACCTGCCTCAGCCTCCCGAGTAGCTGGAATTACAGGCATGCGCCACCACACCCAGCTAATTTTTGTATTTGTAGTAGAGACAGGGTTTCACCATGTTGGCCAGGCTGGTCTTGAATTCCTGACCTCAGGTGATCTACCCATCTTGGCCTCCCACAGTGCTGGGATTACAGGCATGAGCCACCGCACCCCGCTCTCAAGTTCTCCTTCCTTTTCCTAGATGTGAAGGAGCAAAGAGTAGAGGCCAGAAGCTAGAGGGGGCTGCTTGATAAGAGCTGTGGTCTTTGGTAAGGGGACACAGACAGCCCATGTGACCTGGCAATGAGAAAGCCAGAGTACTCTGACCATCTTTTCCTCATGTCTTTTCATCTTCTTTGGATATTACTAATTGGATAAACACAAGCTCAAGTCAGAGGGCAAGGGAGCCATTCATGCAGTCCATGTGGGTCAGCACCCACTGGGGTCCAGAGTGGGATGAAGAGGGGTTCTGAAAGGCAAATGGAAGACATCCAGTATAATCTCTCCCTGAATGTAATTCAAACTACTTATTACACAGAAAAATCGTGTGTATGCTGAAAGTAAAATAACCTGTTTCCAGAATTTCTGATTGTAAAATTCTGAGTTCTTCTATTAAAACTGCATTTTTCTCAGTCTTTTTGGTGCCCCTGCTTCACTGGTGCCTTAAGCACATTTGGAGAGCCTGAGGGCAGCCCTGAGCATGGTGCCTGGACTAGGGTGCCTCAAAAGTAGGGACTGAGGAAGTCTCAAGTTCATTCCTGAATGCTGACTCTAAGAGTCTCCGAGAGAGTTTTGAGAATGTAGAACTGATTTAGAATGAATCTCAGGATTTTTCTGTTAGGATCTATAGATTAGGAATTAAGGAACTGGATTTTCTTGAATTTGAAAAATCCTATGATAGTATAACTTTGCATAAGCCTACTGAATAATAGGAAAGTTTTTAGTTTCTTATCAAAGAGAATAAAGTGAATCAGGACATCAATTTCACATTGACATTTTTATTAACGCCAACTGTTTTTTAATTATTATTTTTTTAAAACAATAGCACAAAAATGTTTCAAGGAAGCAGTCTCACAATCTGATGACCTTCTGAAATACAGTTAAGCCACACCAAATATGAATTTATGTTAATAACACAAAAAAAAATTTAAGAAAAAAAGAAAAAGGTAGGGAAAGAGGAAGGGAATGAGATTTAGATTTAAAACTCATTGGATTAAATAGGTGAGGCTTGTTAGTAGGATAGACTGTTGAAGCAAACAGTGGCACACACAGGCTTACAGTCTGTTTTTTAAACCAGTTACCACTAATGTAGAAGCCCTGCAGCAGTTACCACTGACTTCTTGCACACATAAAATGAACCAGGAGAAACCAGTGTTGACACTGTTATGAAGAGGTTCAACAGTTGGCTTGTCAGACAACTAAGACCATTTTTAGCAGAATAACTCATTCAGAAAGGCCTGGCTGAAGATCTTTTTATTTCTATTGTCTCACCTGTGTGAATTTCAGGGTTCTTATAAGTCATCTTTAAAAAGAAAGAAAAAATAATGTGTATCAGTTTCTCTTATTTAACGTGGCTATGAAAGATGTTTCCTTATTATTTCTTTATCTCTAAGAAGGACACTGGGGAATGGGGGTTGGGGTGGAACTAAAGGGAGGAAAAAAAACCAGAAGAGGGTAGGTGTTTTAACTTTTTTTTTTTTTTTTTTTTTTTGGCCAAGGGGTCACAAAGAAGGGAAGGCAAGGAGGAAAACTACAATCCTTGGTTCAGATTGAGTTATGCAGGAAAATATATCCTCCTGGCCAGTCCCCATGCCAAAAAAAAAAAAAAAGCCACTTGGAATTATGCACTGACTCCAACTATGTTATGCCAGCTATCAGCCTTTTGTGTTTAACCATTCCCAGAAATGGATGCCACCCTTGACTTATAGGCTGCTTGCAGAAACCACTTCACAAAAATCCTCTTCACCAAGAAGCCTCTAGTTTCCTTTTGGTAAGTTATAAAAACAGAACATCTGTCATTAACAGTAGAGTGTTAAATACTTTTAACCACTGACAAGGCTTCAGAAAGTTTCACAGTTTCGTTATGCTCTATTTTATTACTATCATATTTACATTTTTATTTTTTATTTATTTTTTGCTGAATTGCTGATTTTCCTTTTTCAATAGAATTTAATTCTGGAGTGTGAGCAGGAACCAGTTAACTACATTCATTGTCCAACCCCCACTGGTTTGAAAGAAGACTCCAAATTCTTGGCATATGAATCAGCTGTTCGATAGCTCCACCTTATCCCTGCAGCGAAGCAGCAGAACCGCCAATGGCGGCACCTCAGGATTCACACTGTAGGTAGTGAGGCCTTCCGCTGAAGGAGGTACTGGTGGATGCTCTCAGCATCTCGCTTTAGCCAAGCAGCATTCAGCAGAATATTTTCACAACACTGCTGGATGGTACGCTCAGCTGAAGGAGCTGGGTGACTCTCGAAGAAAGCCTGGTATAAAACAACCAAGAATGCAGGATCATTACTAGCAATAAGAAGTTAATATTACAGGTTATGAAAAAATAACCACTGGTCTATATGAAGGATGCATAACCTTCAGGCATGAGAATTTACCACTGCCACCCTCAGGCTAAAAGAAAACAAGCAACTGCATATAGGAATTCTCCCCTTAAATATTATATGCTTAACAGCCTCATCAAAAGTTAATAAAGAGACAGAACCTACTGCTTTTCTTTTAGGCTAATTGTGTAGTGGTAAATATAGTCTTTGGACTGAAGACTTGGAACTTGAATCTAGGCTTTGTCATGTACTAGCTTGTGAATGAGAAAATTAACTGTTCTAAGTCTCAGTTTTTTCAACTATGAGAAAATATTTACTCCAGAAGATTAAAGAGACAATCCATATAAACATTTGACAAAACACCTAGCACAGAGTACTTAAGGATTCAACACATTTTGGCTGCTTCAAAGAAAGATTAATTTGTAAGAGATGATAATACAAAGAAGTTTAAATTGCTGCTGTGCCCTAATAATTTAACATCCCAGAGTCTTTTTTTTTTTTCTGAGATAGGGTCTCACTCTGTTGTCCAGGCTAGAGTGCAATGAAGCGATCATGGCTCATCGCAGCCTCAACCTCCTGGGCTCAAGTACATCTCCCACCTTAGTTTCCTGGGTAGCTGGGACCACAAGCATGCACTCCCAGGCCTAATTTATTTTTCCTTTTTGTAGAGATGGGGTCCTAGCATGTTGCCCAGACTAGTCTTGAACTCTTGAGCTCAAGCAATCCTCCCACCTCACCCTCCCAAAATGCTAGAATTACAGGAATCCAACATTTTTAATATAGTAAAACAATTTCTAAGTTTATAATTTATCACAATGCTTAATGATTAAAAGTTGATAAACTTTTCTAATGGTTTCACAGAAAACAAAGCAACTCTTAAACACCAACTGGCAAAATGATGGGGCTTTTCCTTTGAATTAGTCACCACAGGAGTGAAAGACAGAATGACTAATCCATCTGATTAAACATAGACCTTTTAGAAATCAATAACCTTATTTACAGAGATGACAATTGCTACTGTTCCAAGACTCCTAAACATGGTTCAGTTCTCAGGGCCTCAAGTCTTTTTCCCTTCCATCTCAGTAAGTAGTACCAACATTTACACACCAGAAACCTGGGGATTATCCTGGCTCGTTTTATGCTCACAACAGAGAAGCCAATCAATAAATATTGTTGAACTAATGGTTAACAAATTCAAGCCCCTGAATCTCCTTCATTACTCTGTCTCCTCCACTACTGCCACGACCCTACTGTAAGCTATTCTATCATTCTTGCTGGGAGAGTTAGCTTCCCAACATCTTCTCTTCCTCATTCCAAACTATTATCTACATTGCAGCCAGACTGAAATTTTTATAACACAAATCAGATCAAGTCACTGCCTTGTTTATAAACCATCTGAAGGCTTTCCATCATTTTTAGGAAATTTTTTTTTTTCTTTTTGAGACAGAGTCTCACTCTGTCACCCAGGCTGGAGTGCAACGGCATGATCTCAGCTCACTGCAACCTCTGCCTCCCGGGCTCAAGTGATTCTCCTGCCTCAGCCTCCCGAGTAGCTGGGATTACAGGTGTGCACCACTGTGTCCAGCTAATTTGGAGTTTCACCATGTTGCCCAGGCTGGTCTTCAACTCCTGACCTCAGGTGATCCACCCACCTCGGCCTCCCAAAGTGCTGAGATTACAGGTGTGAGCTACCATGCCCAGCCATTTTTAGGAAATTCTTACGGCCCTGCATGATGTCTTTCTCTAAACAAAAACACAGAGATGCTACAGTACGTTATCCCAACACTATAATTACAATCAGGTTATTGTTTTTACTTACTAGATTGAAAAGTGAAGAGTAAACAGTGTTTTCCTTACCTTAACCTCTCCAGCCATTTTATCAACTGCAAATCCCTCAACTGATAGCTGTAAAACAATGGTTTTAAATAGTAAGTGAAACCAAAAGAGGCTGGGAACAAACTTCCATTTACCCTAAAAACAAATCATTATGTTCTCTGCCAACTTCAGTCTGTTATAAAGGATGTGTGATGGGAGATGGAGAAGTCCTTAAATAAAGCCAGTAACTATTTAAGGAAACTCTTTTATTTTTTTGAGACGGAGTTTCACACTCATTGCCCAGGCTGGAGTGCAATAGCCTCATCTCACCACAACCTCCACCTACCAGGTTCAAGCAATTTTCCTGCCTCAGCCTCCCAAGCAGCTGGGATTACAGGCGCGTGCCACCACGCTCAGCTAATTTTTGTATTTTTAGTAGGGACAGGGTTTCACCATGTTGGCCAGGCTGGTCTCGAACTCCCGACCTCAGGTGATCCATCCACCTTGGCCTCCCAAAGTGCTGGGATTACAGGCGTAAGCCACTGTGCCTGGCCATAGGAAACTTTTAAAGAGCAAAGACCACAATGTATGGGTGTAGTGAATCATGGATGTCACTCAATAATATCCATGATTAGCAAGCTACTCACAATTTTTCACATACCTTTATTAGTCTGGATATTAAGAATCCTCCCTGGTATCGGTTATAAAGTTCTTCCCAATTGTCCTTTATGAATTTCCAAGCAGCTTTCCTTCCATGCTTGCTGCCTCCAGCTACTCCACCAATTACCGATACAGTGTCCTGTGGACGTACCTCTTCCTAAAAAAAGAAAGAGCTAAAAGTCTAGTGTACCAAAAACATATTCTGGTACCAGAAAGTGCAATATACTGTTGACACTGAAGTAATGACACTGAAGACACTTTCCTTGTTTTAGGAATAACTGGCACCAGAAGTTCTCAGCAAAGAGGATAATGTTTAACCTAAAGATCAACCAAAATAAGAATGAGGTACTGAGACAGGTTCAGACAGACAGACTGCTCAACAGATACTTGCTTAGGAGCTTATAGGTTTAAGAAAGGAAGAGACACAAAGTAAGCAAAGGCATAAGCCAGTTTCCCAGTTTTCAAGAATCCCTGTCCTCACAGTTTCCATTCTGGAGAGAGAATTCTGATTCTCGCCACTAGTGGGAGAAAAACAGAAGTCAGTAACAAAAACTCAAGCCAGTTGATCTGGAAAAGGAAGCTTTAGTTAGGGTTAAGGCAGCTCAAGAGGATCAGAGCTGAATCAGAGACACTTGTCACAGATGGCTAATGATTCACTCTAAATGCAGTTTTCACTATAACTTACTGAAAGTGCAAACGTGAGGACTTTTTGAATCAGGTCAGGCAAAAGAGTAGCGCCAAGGACTCTTTCGATTCGGTTTTTCTCTTCTTGCATATCTGCTTGTTTATGAAGCTACAGGAAAAAAGATAAAGATTGGAATAGTTAACTCTCCCTTGGATGTTCTGTATATAATTACATGAGCTTCTTCCCCAATAAGGTAAAACTTAGGTTCTATATTCTCACTAGGTAAGAATGGCAGAACATTACATTAACAAAAGAGAATACTTTTCAAGATGCTTTGGGCTGGGTGCAGTGGCTCACACCTGTAATCCCAGCACTTTGGGAGGCCGAGGCGGGTGGATCACCTCAGGTCAAGAGTTCGAGATCAGCCTGGCCAACATGGTGAAACCCCATTTCTACTAAAAATACAAAAAAAAAATTAGCTGGGTGTGGTGGTGCCCACCTGTAATCCCAGCTACTCGGGAGGCCGAGGCGGGAGAATTGCTTGAACCTGGGAAGTTGCAGTGAGCCGAAATCGTGCCACTGCACTCCAGCCTGGGCAAGAGCGTGAGACTCTGTCTCAAAAAAAAAGAGAAAAAAAATGATGCTTTGGCACTAAATTTGTCATCTGTTGTTACACTAAGTAAATCACTAGATGTAAATGCTCACCAGATGAACAGCCTGTCATTAGTTCAGACTAGTTTAACATCAAGATCTAAGAGGTAAAATCTATCATAGCCAAAAATTCTTTATATTATTGATATCTGGCTAATGTTCTGTGTTAAAAGAACAAACTAATCATTAGTAATCTTATACCAGTTCATCAAATTAATTTATAATAGTGAAAAACTGAAAATGAATACTGTAAGTACTTATAAAAATGCATTATTTAAAGTTACATTTTAAGAATATCTCATGATACAAACATGTTCTTATATTTAAGTATATGTAAGAAAGTAGATAAAGGAGAATGATCTAACACTTTGGAATGCTGAGTGGAGGTTGCAGTGAGCCTGTAATGTACCACTGCACTCAATCTGGACATCAGAGCAAGACTGTTTTCACAAAAAAGGGGTGGGGAGAAAACCTGGAAATACATCAAAATGGTATATTAATTAATGATGGTTCTGATCAGTGGGATTATGCCATCTTCACACTTTTTAACTGCAAAAGCAGCACATACTGAATGCAGAATATCTGAAAGACAGAGAAGCATAAAGAAAAAAAATTACTACTATATGTACATTATCAAATCTGGAATGAGAGCATGTTATACATGCTGTTTTTGCTACCTGCTTTTTAAATTACAGGTAAGTTTTATTTTCCTCTTACACTTTTCTAGTCTCTAAATCTTCCATAGTAAAATAGTATAAAATATTTTTTTTCATAATCAGAAACAAAATGTTATAATTCTTAAAAATTAGAACTATAAATGTATAAGAGCTATGTCTCCAAGACAATTTAGACTCTCTTGATCTTTTCTACCCTTAAGATTTAACACTGACCAGAGTGTCGTGTCTCGGAGACCTCATCAAAGCTCTCAGTTTCTTCTTCCTTTCCTTTGGACCTTTTTTTTTTCCCAATAAACAATTTATAAGAACTAGAGATGGGTCTCACCATGTTGACCAGGCTGGTCTCTCCTCTCTCGCTCTTTTTTTTTTTTTTTTTTGAGTGGATCTCGCTCCGTTGCCCCAGCTGGAGTGCAATGGTGTAAGCTCACTACAACCACACCTAGCTAATTTTTCTATTTTTAGTAGAGCCAGGAGTTTCTCCATGTTGCCCAGGCTGGTCTCGAACTCCTGGCCCCAAGTGATCCTCCATCTCAGCCTCCCAAAGTGCTGGGATTACAGGGCATGAACCACACCAAGCCTGGGCCCCTTTCGACTCTTTTTTTTTTTTTTTTTTTTTTTTGAAGACGGAGTCCTCGCTCTGCCGCCCAGGCTGGACTGCCAGTGGCCGGATCTCAGCTCACTGCAAGCTCCGCCTGCCGGGTTCACGCCATTCTCAGCTGCCTCAGCCTCCGGAGTAGCTGGGACTACAGGCGCCCGCCCCCAGCCTCGCCCGGCTAGTTTTTTGTATTTTTCAGTAGAGACGGGTTTCACCGTGTCAGCCAGGATGGTCTCGATCCTCGACCTCGTGATCCGCCGTCTCGGCCTCCAAAGTGCTGGATTACAGGCTTGAGCCACCGCGCCCTGCCCCCTTTCCGACTCTTGAGAAGCAGTGCAGTAAAACAGAAAGGACCTGGGAGATCTGGATTCTACTCCCAGTTTAGCCTCTAGCTGTGTGATCTTGACTAAGTCCTTAATCCCTCTGGGTCTCAGTTTCCCCATGTGTAAAATGACGTGTGGACAGATAATTTCTAAAGCCCTTTTCAGCTCCAATATTCAAGGTCTGAACCTCTGGCTTTCAGGAAGCATCCTCCAAAGAGAACCTGTTATTCCGAGTCCACCTAGATGCACTCTAACACCATATTCAAATATACTTTGAATTAATGTTTTTTAACCCTGCCACATTATTCCTAATTACCATCATAAGACAACCCTCCTCCTTCTCTTACCAAATGGCTTCTTGAAGAACCATGATTCAGCCTTCATTAGAGCATTTCCATAGTGAAGCTGATTATCGTCGAACTCCCTTGTGTTAAATAAATGCAAACTCTTAATAAATACACATACACGTGGAAAATCTTAAAGTGCCATGACATGAAAATGTCAAAGTATCTGCCATGAAATTTTCAGAACCCCTATTTTTTTTCCATATCATCGTGGGAATAGATGAAAAAAATATCAAATATCCGTTTCATACATATCATTTTATAGTACACAGGTTCACAGAATATTAAGACTCGAGAAGGGGACCTATGTCAGGTGATAAGGTCAAACCCAAATTTCTTATTTTTTTAGGTCTTTTTTTAGACAGCGGTCTTGCTCTGTCACCCGGACCTGGGGAGTTCAGTAGTGCAGTCATTAGCTCTCATGCAGGCTTGAACTCTGGGCTCCAAGACTCCCCTCCTGCGTCGGCCCTCCCTGAGAAGCGGAACCTTACAGGTTGCATGCCACCATTGTTCCAGCTCTCCCAAATAATAAACTCTATATTCTTAGAAAAGTAGGCCAGGCAGGTGGCTTCAACGCCTATTAACCTAGCCTTTGGGCCAGGCTGAGGCGGCGGATCCAAAGCAGGAGTTTCCCGAGGCTAGCCTGGGTCAATGTTGGGAAACCCCTGTCTTCCTACCTAAATACAGAAATAAGCTTGGGTGTGGAGTGCAGTGGCCTGTAAGTCCAGCTACGTCGGGTCTGAGGCAGGAAATCCGTGAACCAGGAGGCAGAGGTTGAAGTGAGCCGAGATCATGCCATACACTCCAGCCCTGGGCAACAAAGTAAGACTCTGCTACTCAAAAAAAAGAAAGTAAACCTATTACAACATGGTA